TGGCTCTTGCTTACTCTTATCAGATTTTATTCCTTTCATTATCAACATTCAGCAACTTCTCAGAATATTTCTGGCATCTTTGCAGTACCTCTACCTTCCTATCTAACATCTCCCCTCCGTTGTTGTTAACTCCCAAATTGCTTTGCTCCCTAATCTTTCTCTAGTTATTAATGTCTCCAAAACTGTCTTTTATTCTCTTAAAAATTGTCTGAAGACTTGTCCATTCTCTTGTTTGCTCTTATTTTGCACTCTCACCAGTCTGTTAACCTATTTATTTTTCTGTCTCTGTAGTCTAGCATCCATGAATGATTTTTACATTGTAAAGACATCTCTAGTGCTAGCTTTTTCTCCCATACCATCTTCTTGACCTTATCAGTACCCACCCACCCTTCCTAAACCAATAATTTCTGCTGATTTCACTCTAGCACTGTATATATGTTGGTAGAATTACTGACAATATGACTGATATATCACTGCCCTTGAAGACCTCACCAACGACCTAAATGTTATCATCGCCACCGCCTACAAAGGAGGTGGAGTCGTCATACTCAACACCAGTGACTACAACACCAAAATGATGACCCTTTTGAATGATCAGTCTACATACAAACCCATCAGCACACAACAGTGGGAGACACTCACCCAAGATTTTCTATACAAAACCAGACAAATACTCAAATGCACTAGAGAAGGGAAGAAACTTCTGTACTTGTTACCCAGCAACCCTAAACCAGTATACATGTATGGTTTACCCATGACCCATAAACATAATATTCCTCTTAGACCAATCACATCAGGTATAGGCAGTGCACCATATAAACTAGCTGGAGTTCTTGCCAAACATCTTTCCTGCCTTCTGGGGACCATCAGCCCTGCTCATCTTAAGCATTCGGGCAACCTTCTCAACCGCATCCGAAACCTCTCCATCCGTAACAAGAAACTAAGCAGTTTGGACGTGACTTCCCTCTTCACTAAAGTACCTACCACACAAACCATCAAGGTTCTACGACGTAAAGTCAATCAGGACCTAAATCTTCCTCTACCTCCCGGAGATTTTGTTGCCCTGATTGAACTCTGCGTTAATTTCAACTGTTTTTCTTTCAGTAACAGGCTCTACAAACAAACCTTTGGCATGGGAATGGGGTCTTCCATCAGTGCTGTCTTAGCCAACTTATACATGGAACACATCATCCCCTCAAGCATCACTTGGTTACGTTACGTGGACAATGTCCTCGTAATAACTCCTAAACGTTTTGATGTACGGAATCTTCAGGCAAGGCTCAGCACAGTTGAACCAGCGATCCAGTTTACACTAGAAGAAGAGTCCAGTGACAAGCTGCCTTTTCTAGACATCCTCATTCACAAAGTAGATAACAACCTAAGATTTCAAGTTTACCGGAAACCTACAAACAAAAATGATCTTGCACACTTCTATTCCAGTTAAGATACTAAGACCAAAAGAAGCATCATCATCAGGTTTATCCTAAGAGCGTACCAAATTTGTAGTCCTAAGTTTCTTGACGAGGAATGTACACACATTCATCAAACCTTCACTGATCTACGTTTTCCTTCCTTTTTCATTAAAGATTGCAAGAAAAGAGATCATATCATTAATTCTCCATGCACCAACACCACTCCTAAGAAAGTTATAATTCTTCCCAACAGCCAGGTTGCTTTGAACATTTCTATAGTACTAGCACAAGCTAACACTAGAGTCGCCATCACTTCCAGCACTTCAATAAAGGACCTAACCAGGACAAAATCCAAGCACCATGAACCAGTCAATGCAGGGGTTTATACTATACCCTGTGGAGGCTACAACAAGATTTATGTAGGCGAAACAGCAAGAAACCACGAAACCCACTTCAGTGAACACATTTATGCTTGTAGGAACGATAATTTGAACAACGCCTGTATACAACAACAAAATTCCACCAATCATCTCGTGAAATTCAGGGACGCCTGATTAATGATCAAAGAAACTAATTTCTGAAGATGCAAGTGCCTTGAATCAGCACTAATCACTGTTTCTAATACAATTAAACAAAACAAAGGCAGCTTTACCATCTCTGAAGTCTTAGCAAGAATCCTCCTGAAAACAGTAAACCCTGCCATCACATAGTCTCTCCTGCTAATGCTACACATGCATATTACAGAAGATGAACACTGAAACAAGCCTTCTCTATTCCAACCTCCAATAGAAATATTTGTCTAACCTATATTTTATGTTACCCAAGTAATAGCTTTCATATCCTTTTACTCATGTGCAAGCTAATTGTTCTACCATATTGTATTACTACTACTACTATAACTTATATCACTACTACTACCACTAGTATTACACCTCACTCTAAGCCTATATGTACCCTCTGTGTCCATGTACTGTTTGTAATGGCTTAACAAAGCTCCTGGAGAGCGAAACGTTGCCACAGTAAAATGTCACAGTTGCACTTGTGTCCTTTTACTTTACATACTCTAGCACTGCATTCTTTAATCTTCACCGCTATAACTCTTCACCCTCCTCATTACCTGTACTCTAGCTTCCATATCCTTTCTTTGAGTAATTGTTGATACCCTCCCTTTATTTTATTTTTTTTAGTTCATTCACTTCTTTTTCTTACCAATGCTGTTATCCATGTAGTCCATCTGATGGTAGTTACTGTGCTGAACCACCAAATAATGATTTGATATATCAGGTAGTCACTGAAAATATGCACATCAGTGTTTTGTAACATGCTGGCCATCTCCCACTGAGGCAGGGTGACCCAAAAAGAAAGAAAATCCCCAAAAGAAAGTACTTTCATCATAATTCAACCCTTTCACCTCACTCACACATAATCACTGTTTTTGCAGAGGTGCTCAGAATACAACAGTTTAGAATCATATACGTATAAAGATACACAATATATCCCTCCAAACTGCCAATATCCCAAACCCTTCCTTTAAAGTGCAAGCATTGTACTTCCCACTTCCAGGACTCAAGTCCGGCTATATAAGAATAAACGGTTTCCTTGAATCCCTTCACTAAATATTACCCTGCTCGCACTCCAATAGCTCATCAGGTCCCAAATACCATTTGTCTCCATTCACTCCTATCTAATATGCTCATGCACACTTGCTGGAAGTCCAAGCCCCTCGCCCACAAAATCTCCTTTACCCCCTCCCTCCCAACCTTTACGAGGACAACCCATACCCTGCCTTCCTTCCCCTACAGATTTATATTCTCTCCATGTCATTCTACTTTGATCCATTCTCTCTAAATGACCAAACCACCTCAACAACCCCTCTTCAGCCCTCTGACTAATACTTTTATTAACTCCACACCTTCTCCTAATTTCCACACATTGCCCATAGACAGGAGATGGCCTTATAGCCATTAATTCAGTCTGGCACACTGCTGTTGTTACACAATTAATCATACATGTATACTTATTTATCCTCATTTTAAAAAGTATAGTCACAGTCGGCCTCCCTTTGACTTATGTTGGCAGTGTTATTTTGAATAACTACTGAAAAACCTCCACATTCCCTCAGTTGATGACTCATTCCCTGCTTGTATAAAGACCTCGTGCCAGGCGGTGAATTTCATAAATAAATGGGAGATTGTAGTTGGGTAGATCATGGGGCATTATCTCTTAAGGAGATGATGCCCCTGCATGTATGTAAACTGGTGCCATAATAAAGTAAACTTGGCACACATCCCAATCTATTCTGTTAGAAGTGGTGCACTTGATAAACTTTTTTTTTTTTTTTTTTTTTTCAACAAGTCGGCCGTCTCCCACCGAGACAGGGTGACCCAAAAAAGAAAGAAAATCCCCAAAAAGAAAATACTTTCATCATCATTCAACACTTTCACCACACTCGCACATTATCACTGTTTTTGCAGAGGTGCTCAGAATACAACAGTCTAGAAGCATACACATATAAAGATACACAACATATCCCTCCAAACTGCCAATATCCCAAAACCCTCCTTTAAAGTGCAGGCATTGTACTTCCCATTTCCAGGACTCAAGTCCGACTATATGTAATAAATAATAAGTAATAAATAATATGTATCACTTTCCAGCTTGGGTGTGGAGGAGAGCTTGCATGAATTGATTTTGTGCCTAATGAAGAAATACAGTATATAATAGAAATAGATATTAAATACCTTTGTGTGTAGTATTTAGAAAATGTTTACACATTTTTTAACTGCATGCAAACACTTGGACATTATAAAAAAACATTTTTTTAATACTGTTTGTAAGTCTGTAGTCACAATACTGTGGTAAAATATTTTTAATACTGTATTGAATTACTGTATGTGATTTTGCTGTACCATTGATTAGCTTAAGAGTGGTTACTGTATGTTACTCCAGAGAGTATTGTACTTTCATTATGCATACTTAATTATTTCTTTGTCAGGTGTTTTAGTAACATGGTTTTCTTGTCTAGGTTCCTGATAATACAATATGTACCTTCTTTGTATTTTTATACTGCATGTAAATTGTTGGCACTGAGGGAAGTACCTTACCCTGCTGTCCACACAAGGCTCTTGTGTAAGAGTTGTGAGGGTCCCTTACCAGATACTAATTTGTGCCACATAATTTCCTGATGGCATACAACCTTCAAAGGTAGTGTTTTCATGCTAGTTAAATCTGTGCCGCATACTTTCCTGATGGCATACAACCTTCGGTGGTAATGCCTTCGTGCTAATTAAGGCATTTGATCCAAGCAATTAGGGTAATCATTCCTCTTATTATCAAACCTGATGCCTCCCATTTCCCAAGCACGGTTTGATCTTCATGAGTGTAGTACTTTCCTATAAATATAGAATTAATACTAAAGGGATGAAGGTCCTGAAGAGAATATGTAATAGTTTTTTTTATGTAGGTTTATTTTGTAATTGTCTTAAATTAAAAATATACACTGTAGTGACTGAGGTCCTAGCTAGGCATAATGTGTTAAGTACATTTTATCACTGTTTAAAATTAGAATGAACATTCTGTTTGTTTCAGGAGCAGAGGTGTTGTCAAAAGGGGTTGTCTGGGGTGCAGAAAAACTCGGTGAGCTGATAAGCTTTGGATCTGAGAGCTTGAAAGGTTATCTTCAGCCAGTAGAGCAGAAAAAAGAAATTGATCCTAAATGGCAGTCAACAGCCAGAGTGGCAAGAGATGTATCTGGGAAAGCAGTGAAAGTCAGTGGATATCTCTGTAAGCTAAGAATTATATTATTTTCTTATTTGTGAGTTCTATATTTTTTTTAATTTATTGACTTCACATTCAAGAATTTTTACTAGTACTTTACTTTTTTTTGTTTTCTTTAATAATGAAGCATTCCACATTACATATGCATTTTCATATCTGTTTTTGCCAAAAAGCTCTTCAATTAAAATAGTAAATAATAATAATAATAATAATAATAATAATAAATTAACATTAAAAGTATATTTGTCAGTAGTGTAAATGTATTGAAAAATATTCTTATAAGGATCTTAAGAGGAATTGAGGATGGAAAGGCAGAATTATATATAGTGGACCCTCGTTATTGGCCATAATCCGTTCCAGAAGGTTGGCCTAAAACTGAAATGGCCGAAAAACGAAGTAATATTTCCCTTACGAATTAATGTAAATACAAAAGGAGAGCAAATGATAGTGGGAGAGGCACTGTCAAGGAGTTTTAAAGAAAATAAGAAAAAATTTTGGAGTGAGTTAAACAAGTTAAGAAAGCCTAGAGAACGAATGGATTTGTCAGTTAAAAACAGAGTAGGGGAGTTAGTAGATGGGGAGATGGAGGTTTTGGGTAGATGGCGAGAATATTTTGAGGAACTTTTAAATATTGATGAAGAAAGGGAAGCGGTAATTTCATGCACTGGCCAGGGAGGTATACCATCTTTTAGGAGTGAAGAACAGGATGTGAGTGTGGGGGAGGTGCGTGAGGCATTATGTAGAATGAAAGGGAGTAAAGCAGTTGGAACTGACGGGATCATGACAGAAATGTTAAAAGCAGGGGGGGGGGATATAGTGTTGGAGTGGTTGGTATTTTTGTTTAATAAATGTATGAAAGAGGGGAAGATACCTAGGGATTGGCAGAGAGCATGTATAGTCCCTTTATATAAAGGGAAGGGGGACAAAAGAGATTGTAAAAATTATAGAGGAATAAGTTTACTGAGTATACCAGGAAAAGTGTACGGCAAGGTTATAATTGACAGAATTACAGGCAAGACATAATGTAGGATTGCGGATGAGCAAGGAGGTTTCAGAGTGGGTAGGGGATGTGTAGATCAAGTGTTTACATTTATTTATTTATTTATTTATTTATTTATTTATTTCCAATTTGTGCACACATACAGAGGTACAAAAAAAATACAGATAAGAGCAGTATGCCAAAGCCACTTATACTATGCATAGCATTACGGGCTGGCTTAAAATTAACTTAAGATTAACTAAGCAATGATTATTATTATTATTATAATCAAAAAGAAGCGCTAAGCCACAAGGACTATACAGCGCTGCTACTAAGCAATGATGAAATCAGTGATAAAACATTAATGTAAACAGATAACTATAAAGCACAAGTGAGTATTACAAAGACAGGTCATATGGTTGCATTCAGTTAGGTAGTGATTCTGTTAGGTAGTGTATTTAAAAAAAATAAAGTTAGATTGGGTTTTAGGTTTAACATTTATGTGATATAATTGTGAGAAACATTTAAGATATACAATTTATAATGTTCAGTTATTCAGTATTTATTTGGTTTTGGGTGAGTAAGTAATCTTTGAGAAGAGACTTGAATTTATAAACAGGTTGTGTTTCTTTTATATTTACAGGTAATGAATTCCAGATTTTAGGGCCTTTTATGTGCATTGAGTTTTTGCATAGTGTGAGATGGACACGAGGAACATCAAAGAGTGATCTGTGCCTTGTGTTATGGTCATGTGTTCTGTTGAGGTTGGCAAGGAGATGTTTGAGGGAGGGTTAATATCAGAGTTAAGTGTTCTATGTATGTAATAGGTGCAGTAATAAGTATGGATGTTTTGTATGGTGAGTAGGTTTAGTGTATTGAATATTGGTGGAGTGTGCTGCCTGTAGTGAGAATTTGTTATCATTCTAACTGCAGCCTTTTGTTGGGTAATTAGTGGTCTGAGATGGTTAATTGTTGTTGAGCCCATGCACAAATTCCATAGGTGAGATAGGGGTAAATAAGAGAGTGATATAGGGCCAGGAGGGCTGACTGTGGAACATAGTACCGTATCTTCGATAGTATGCCTACAGTCTTGGAAATTTTCTTAGAAATTTGATGTATATTGTGTATGAAATTTGAGTCTATTATCAAGGTGGATTCCTAAGAATTTTCCCTCTGTTAGTTTTGTGATAGGTGATCCATTTATCATTATGTTAAGAGGGACATCTGTAGCTCTGTTACCAAACTGAATGAAGTAGGTTTTGTCAATGTTTAGTGTAAGTTTGTTAGTCCTCATCCAGGTAGATATTTTCTGTAATTCGGTATTTACAGTATTGGCTAGCGTGACTGGGCTCGGGTGAGAGAAGACGTATGTAGTGTCATCTGCAAATAGTGTGGGTTTGAGTAATTGCGAAGCATTTGGAAGGTCATTTATGTATAGGAGAAAGAGAAGAGGGCCAAGGACACTTCCCTGTGGGACACCAACTGTAATTGGTTGTGCAGAAGAGTTTGCCCCATTTGCGTACACATATATGTGAACAGTATTTAGATAAAGGTAGGGAAGTTTTTATTGCATATATGGATTTAGAAAAGGCATATGATAGAGTGGATAGGGGAGCAATGTGGCAGATGTTGCAAGTATATGGAATAAGTGGTAAGTTACTAAATGCTGTAAAGAGTTTTTATGAGGATAGTGAGGCTCAGGTTAGGGTGTGTAGAAGAGAGGGAGACTACTTCCCAGTAAAAGTAGGTCTTAGACAGGGATGTGTAATGTCGCCATGGTTGTTTAATATATTTATAGATGGGGTTGTAAAAGAAGTAAATGCTAGCGTGTTCAGGAGAGGGGTGGTATTAAATTATGGGGAATTAAATACAAAATGGGAATTGACACAGTTGCTTTTTGCTGATGATACTGTGCTTATGGGAGATTCTAAATAAAAATCGCAAAGGTTAGTGGATGAGTTTGGGAGTGTGTGTAAAGGTAGAAAGTTGAAAGTGAATATAGAAAAGAGTAAGGTGATGAGGGTATCAAGTGATTTAGATAAAGAAAAATTGGATATTAAATTGGGGAGGAGGAGTATGGAAGAAGTGGATGTTTTCAGATACTTCGGAGTTGACGTGTCAGTGGATGGATTTATGAAGGATGAGGTTAATCATAGAATTGATGAGGGAAAAAAGGTGAGTAGTGCATTGAGGTATATGTGGAGACAAAAAACGTTATCTATGGAGGCAAAGAAGGGAATGTATGAAAGTATAGTAGTACCAACACTCTTATATGGGTGTGAAGCTTGGGTTGTGAATGCAGCAGTGAGGAGGCAGTTGGAGGCAGTGGAGATGTCCTGTCTAAGGGCAATGTGTGGTGTAAATATTATGCAGAAAATTCGGAGTGTGGAAATTAGGAGAAGGTGTGGAGTTAATAAAAGTATTAGTCAGAGGGCTGCAGAGGGGTTGTTGAGGTGGTTTGGTCATTTAGAGAGAATGGATCAAAGTAGAATGACGTGGAGAGCATTTAAATCTGTAAGGGAAGGAAGGCGGGGTAGGGGTCGACCTCGAAAAGGTTGGAAGGGGTAAGGGAGGTTTTGTGGGCGAGGGGCTTGGACTTCCAGCAGGCGTGCATGAGCATGTTCGATAGGAGTGAATGGAGATGAATGGTATTTGGGACCTGACGATCTGTTGGAGTGTGAGCAGGGTAATATTTAGTGAAGGGATTCAGGGAAACCAGTTATTTTTGTATAGCCGGACTTGAGTCCTGGAAATGGGAAGTATAATGCCTGCACTCTAAAGGAGGGGTTTGGGATATTAGCAGTTTGGAGGGATACATTGTGTATGTTTATACGTATATGCTTCTAAACTGTTGTGTTCTGAGCACCTCTGCAAAAACAGTGATTATGTGTGAGTGTGTTGAAAGTGCTGAATGATGATGAAAGTATTTTCTTTTTGGGGATTTCTTTCTTTTTGAGTCACCCTGCCTCAGTGGGAGATGGCTGCTTGTTAAAAAAAAAAAAAAAAAAAAAAAAGTTAATCTGTTCCAGACACCCAAAAATATTCACAAAAAATAATTTTTGTAAAAATTAATTATAGTTTTACATACACAAAACAATAAGAACTAAATAAAATAAATACATGAACAATTAAATCACTATTACATACCTTTATTGAAGACTTGTTGGCTTATGGAAGATGAGGAGGAGGAGAGAGGGAGGATTTATTGTTTGGAAGGGGAATCCCTCTCCATAAGGACTTCAGGTCTCAAAGCCTTGCCATGCCTTACCACACTGTGTATGCCACTACGCTTCTTAAATGTCTCAAACCAGCCTTTGTTGGCCCTAAATTCACTAACAGCAGCACTTGTTCCAGGCATTTTCTTCAAAAGATCCGCATGCAACTGTCTTGCCTTCTCACAGATACATGTACATGTAATCAACTCCACAGCACTATCTCCTGCTAATTGTTTTTCGGTGATCCACAACAACAATAACTTCTCCATATCTTCCATTATTGGTGACCTTTGTTTCGTTAGCACATTTACTCCTTTTGCAACATTAGCTTCCTTGATTTCTACTTTCTTTGCCAGTATAGAAGTGATTGTTGATTTGTTTTTCTCATGCATTCTGGTCAATTCCAGCACCCGCACACCACTCTCATATTTTTCAATAACTTCTTTCTTAAATTCCTTCGTGTTTCTCACTTTCTAAGTGAAATATCGGCTGATAACCGGAAGCCGAAATACCGGCCAATAATCGAGTTGGCCAGTATGTGGAATGGCCAATAACCGAGGGTCCACTGTACTCAAATATTCAAGAGACTGTTTGAAGACAAAAGATAATTTATGTAAATTGCAGTAAGTCAGGTTGGGAAGGCAACAATGGCACTGGGAAAGCGCTTGGCACCACAGATTCAGAAACAGAGCACCCGGGCTATCAGTCACTTTACAGGACAGAATGAACAACAAGCCAGCTCAAATGTGAGTAACTAAAATGCTGTTTTTACATTTTTTTATGTATGTAACTCCTGGGCCACTTAAAACAATGTTATATGGTATATGCAAACATTGCCTAAGTTGCTGTTGTATTTCTGTTGTTTAGGTAACCTGGTACTAGAGTAATTCCTTATGATTTACTCTATATACTGTGTACTCACCTATTTGTGGTTGCAGGGGTCGAGTCATAGCTCCTGGCCCCACCTCTACCTTGATTGCTACTTGGTCCTTTCTCTCCCTGCTCCATGAGCTTTATCAAACCTCATCTTAAAACTATGTATGGTTCCTGCCTCTTACCTCCATGGGGAAGTGGAACAGAATTCTTCCTCCGTACGCCATGCATGTTGTAAGAGGCAACTAAAATGCCGGGAGCAAGGGGCTAGCAACCCCTTCTCCTGTATATATTACTAAATGCAAAAGGAGAAACTTTCGTTTTTCCTTTTGGGCCACCCCACCTCGGTGGGATACGGTCGATGTGTTGAAAGAAAGAAGATATATAGGTAGTAGGTTGGTAGACAGCAACCACCCAGGGAGGTACTACTGTTCTGCCAAGTGAGTGTAAAACGAAAGCCTGTAATTGTTTTACATGATGGTAGGATTGCTGGTGTCCTTTTTTCTGTCTCATAAACATGCAAGATTTCAGGTACGTCTTGCTACTTCTACTTAAACTTAGGTCACACTACACATACATGTACAAGCATATATATACACACCCCTCTGGGTTTTCTTCTATTTTCTTCTATTCTTGTTCTTGTTTATTTCCTCTTATCTCTATGGGGAAGTGGAACAGAATTCTTCCTCCGTAAGCCATGCATGTTGTAAGAGGCAACTAAAATGCCGGGAGCAAGGGGCTAGTAACCCCTTCTCCTGTATGTATTATCCCACCCTGCCTTGGTGGGATACGGCCGGTGTGTTGAAAGAAAGAAGATATTTTTTAACACTGAGGCAGGGTGACCCAGAAAAAGAAACACTTTCACCATCATTCACACATAATCACTGTCTTTGTAGAGGTGCTCAGATATGACAATGTAGATGTCACTCCAAACAGCCAGTATCCCATACCTGTCCTTTAAAGTGCAGGCACTGTACTTCCCACCTGCAGGACTCAAGTCCAGCTAACCAGTTTCCCCGAATCCCTTAACAAAATATTACCCTGCTCAGACTCCAACATCTCGTCAGGTCCCAAAATCTATTCGTCTACATTCACTCCTATCTAACACGCTCACACATTTTAAAGGGGGGCAAAAATTTGAAAAAATATTCAACAACAAATGCACTCTTTCAGTGACACGTTCATATGTGTATACACAGTGGTGGGCACATCTAACTGAAAAGTTAGCTTCACTAACCGCTGATCCACTAACCAAAAAATTAGCTCCGCTAACACTAAACTGCTAAATGCCAAAAAAATTAGCGGAAGCTAACACTAAACGCTAACTTTTTCATATGAATTCAGATTCGGTTTAGTTTTTTGGTCTTTTACTCTTAGTTTTAAGACTTTTGGAACAGATCTGGAGAGCTTCCTAATAAGATATAGAATGCCAAGGTTATATGATGATCAAGTGCCGCTAGTGCGAAAATAGCAATTGTTTAATTTTGTGATGTAACACGAGTGACCGACAACGTCACACTTGATCGAGCTAGCTTATTTAACTGTTTTCTTTACTAGTTCCAGTTACCCATTGTATTTGTTCATTTCCATGGGGAAGTGGAAAAGAATCTTTCCTCCGTAAGCCATGCGTGTCATATGAGGCGACTAAAATGCCGGGAGCAATGGGCTAGTAACCCCTTCTCCTGTAGACATTTACTAAAAAAGAGAAGAAGAAAAACTTTATAAAACTGGGATGCTTGAATGTGCATGGATGTAGTGCGGATGACAAGAAACAGATGATTGCTGATGTTATGAATGAAAAGAAGTTGGATGTCCTGGCCCTAAGCGAAACAAAGCTGAAAGGGGTAGGGGAGTTTCAGTGGGGGGAAATAAATGGGATTAAATCTGGAGTATCTGAGAGAGTTAGAGCAAAGGAATGGGTAGCAGTAATATTGAATGATCAGTTATGGAAGGAGAAAAGAGAATATGAATGTGTAAATTCAAGAATTATGTGGATTAAAGTAAAGGTTGGATGCGAGAAGTGGGTCATAATAAGCGTGTATGCACCTGGAGAAGAGAGGAATGCAGAGGAGAGAGAGATTTTGGGAGATGTTAAGTGAATGTATAGGAGCCTTTGAACCAAGTGAGAGAGTAATTGTGGTAGGGGACCTGAATGCTAAAGTAGGAGAAACTTTTAGAGAGGGTGTGGTAGGTAAGTTTGGGGTGCCAGGTGTAAATGATAATGGGAGCCCTTTGATTGAACTTCGTATAGAAAGGGGTTTAGTTATAGGTAATACATATTTTAAGAAAAAGAGGATAAATAAGTATACAAGATATGATGTAGGACGAAATGACAGTAGTTTGTTGGATTATGTATTGATAGATAAAAGACTGTTGAGTAGACTTCAGGATGTACATGTTTATAGAGGGGCCACAGATATATCAGATCACTTTCTAGTTGTAGCTACACTGAGAGTAAAAGGTAGATGGGATACAAGGAGAATAGAAGTATCAGGGAAGAGAGAGGTGAAGGTTTATAAACTAAAAGAGGAGGCAGTTAGGGTAAGATATAAACAGCTATTGGAGGATAGATGGGCTAATGAGAGCATAGGCAATGGGGTCGAAGGTAGGTTTAAAAATGTAGTGTTAGTGTTCAGCAGAAGTTTGTGGTTCCAGGAAAGTGGGTGCGGGAGGGAAGAGGAGCGATTGGTGGAATGATGATGTAAAGAGAGTAGTAAGGGAGAAAAAGTTAGCATATGAGAAGTTTTTACAAAGTAGAAGTGATGCAAGGAGGGAAGAGTATATGGAGAAAAAGAGAGAGGTTAAGAGAGTGGTGAAGCAATGTAAAAAGAGAGCAAATGAGAGAGTGGGTGAGATGTTATCAACAAATTTTGTTGAAAATAAGAAAAAGTTTGGAGTGAGATTAACAAGTTAAGAAAGCCTAGAGAACAAATGGATTTGTCAGTTAAAAATAGGAGAGGAGAGTTATTAAATGGAGAGTTAGAGGTATTGGGAAGATGGAGGGAATATTTTGAGGAATTGTTAAATGTTGATGAGATAGGGAAGCTGTGATTTCGTGTATAGGACAAGGAGGAATAACATCTTGTAGGAGTGAGGAAGAGCCAGTTGTGAGTGTGGGGGAAGTTCGTGAGGCAGTAGGTAAAATGAAAGGGGGTAAGGCAGCCGGGATTGATGGGATAAAGATAGAAATGTTAAAAGCAGGTGGGATATAGTTTTGGAGTGGCTGGTGCAATTATTTAATAAATGTATGGAAGAGGGTAAGGTACCTAGGGATTGGCAGAGAGCATGCATAGTTCCTTTGTATAAAGGCAAAGGGATAAAGACTGCAAAAATTATAGGAGGATAAGTCTGCTGAGTATACCTGGTAAAGTGTATGGTAGAGTTATTATTGAAAGAATTAAGAGTAAGACGGAGAATAGGATAGCAGATGAACAAGGAGGCTTTAGGAAAGGTAGGGGGTGTGTGGACCAGGTTTTACAGTGAAACATGTAAGTGAACAGTATTTAGATAAGGCTAAAGAGGTCTTTGTGGCATTTATGGATTTGGAAAAGGCGTATGACAGGGTGGATAGGGGGGCAATGTGGCAGATGTTGCAAGTGTATGGTGTAGGAGGTAGGTTACTGAAAGCAGTGAAGAGTTTTTACGAGGATAGTGAGGCTCAAGTTAGAGTATGTAGGAAAGAGGGAAATTATTTCCCAGTAAAAGTAGGCCTTAGACAAGGATGTTTGATGTCACCGTGGTTTAATATATTTATAGATGGGGTTGTAAGAGAAGTAAATGCGAGGGTCTTGGCAAGAGGCGTGGAGTTAAAAGATAAAGAATCACACACAAAGTGGGAGTTGTCACAGCTGCTCTTTGCTGATGACACTGTGCTCTTGGGAGATTCTGAAGAGAAGTTGCAGAGATTGGTGGATGAATTTGGTAAGGTGTGCAAAAGAAGAAAATTAAAGGTGAATACAGGAAAGAGTAAGGTTATGAGGATAACAAAAAGATTAGGTGATGAAAGATTGAATATCAGATTGGAGGGAGAGAGTATGGAGGAGGTGAATGTATTCAGATATTTGGGAGTGGACGTGTCAGCGGATGGGTCTATGAAAGATGAGGGAATCATAGAATTGATGAGGGAAAAGAGTGAGTGGTGCACTTAGGAGTCTGTGGAGACAAAGAACTTTGCCCTTGGAGGCAAAGAGGGAATGTATGAGAGTATAGTTTTACCAACGCTCTTATATGGGTGTGAGGCATGGGTGATGAATGTTGCAGCGAGGAGAAGGCTGGAGGCAGTGGAGATGTCATGTCTGAGGGCAATGTGTGGTGTGAATATAATGCAGAGAATTTGTAGTTTGGAAGTTAGGAGGAGGTGCGGGATTACCAAAACTGTTGTCCAGAGGGCTGAGGAAGGGTTGTTGAGGTGGTTTGGGCATGTAGAGAGAATGGAGCGAAACAGAATGACTTCAAGAGTGTATCAGTCTATAGTGGAAGGAAGGCGGGGTAGGGGTCGGCCTAGGAAAGGTTGGAGAGAGGGGGTAAAGGAGGTTTTGTGTGCGAGGGGTTTGGACTTCCAGCAGGCATGCGTGAGCGTGTTTGATAGGAGTGAATGGAGACAAATGGTTTTTAATACTTGACGTGCTGTTGGAGTGTGAGCAAAGTAACATTTATGAAGGGGTTCAAGGAAACCGGCAGGCCGGACTTGAGTCCTGGAGATGGGAAGTACAGTGCCTGCACTCTGAAGGAGGGGTGTTAATGTTGCAGTTTAAAAACTGTAGTGTAAAGCACCCTTCTGGCAAGACAGTGATGGAGTGAATGATGGTGAAAGTTTTTCTTTTTCGGGCCACCCTGCCTTGGTGGGAATCGGCCAGTGTGATAAAAAAAAAAAAAAATCTGTTTCTGTTCATGTTTGCATTTAACTTAATTTAGATTTTGAACCCAATAAACTACAAACAAGTAGTTGAAAATTGTGCTTAAAGTTGAAACCTTGAGGCCAGCTTATCGCTGCACCAGCGATGCAGCCATGCAGGTGCACACAAATAGTTAAATGAACGAATGAAATCAAACGTCAGTTTAAATCCAATATACATTTTATTTTCTGAGCGGCCTCTGCTTCAACCACAGCCGCTGCAGACTCCTGAACAACACCCTCAGGCAGAACAGAAACGTCTCCCCTGTTCATAACGATAAGTGACTACACACCTCAGTGATGGCTGACACTGTAAGACTATAACAATGCTGCTCTGATGTTGCTGCTGCTGCTGCATTGACAAGTCACATTTACATGTAGTCGGCCAATAGCGTGCCTTACTTACTGTTGGAGAAACTCCCACAGCAGACAGGAACAAACACATGCGTTGTTGAAAAGGCATTGCTTTCTGACTACCAACACTGTATGAATTTTTTTTTTGGACTCAAAGTTAGCGGAACTTTCTTTAGCAGAAGCTAATTGGTCTTCTAACGGTTTCCGAAGTTAGCTGAAACTCTAATCCGTTAAACAAAAAGTTAGTTCTGCTAATTAGCGGTTAGTGGATTAGTGGAACTGTGCCCACCACTGTGTATACATATTTATCTTTATAAGAAATTTTGCCTTAATCCTAACGAGTAAATATAACTTCTCTTTACCAATTTTTTGTCGTGAATTTCAGTAAGTTCAGTTATGCTTCAGGAGGAAACATTATGTTCAGTAGACTGCACTGCACTGTGTAGCAGTGGTGTACACTACACTGTACTGGGTAGCAGTGGTGTACACTACACTGTACTGTGTAGCAGTGGTGTACACTACACTGTACTGTGTAGCAGTGGTGTACACTACACTGTACTGTGTAGCAGTGGTGTACACTACACTGTACTGTGTAGCAGTGGTGTACACTACACTGCACTGTGTAGCAGTGGTGTACACTACACTGTACTGTGTAGCAGTGGTGTACACTACACTGTACTGTGTATCAGTGGTGTACACTACACTGTACTGTGTAGCAGTGGTGTACACTACACTGTACTGTGTAGGGAGTGGTGTACACTACACTGTAACTGTGTAGCAGTGGTGTACACTACACTGTACTGTGTAGCAGTGGTGTACACTACACTGTACTGTGTAGCAGTGGTGTACACTACACTGTACTGTGTATCAGTGGTATACACTACACTGCACTGTGTAGCAGTGGTGTACACTACACTGTACAGTGTATCAGTGGTGTACACTACACTGTACTGTGTAGCAGTGGTGTACACTACACTGTTACTGTGTAGCAGTGGTGTACACTACACTGTACTGTGTATCAGTGGTATACACTACACTGCACTGTGTAGCAGTGGTGTACACTACACTGTACTGTGTATCAGTGGTGTACACTACACTGTACTGTGTAGCAGTGGTGTACACTACACTGTAAATGTGTAGCAGTGGGGTACACTACACTGTACTGTGTAGCAGTGGTGTACACTACACTGTACTGTGTAGCAGTGGTGTACACTACACTGTACTGTGTATCAGTGGTGTACACTACACTGTACTGTGTATCAGTGGTGTACACTACACTGTACTGTGTAGCAGTGGTGTACACTACACTGTACTGTGTAGCAGTGGTGTACACTACACTGTACTGTGTAGCAGTGGTGTACACTACACTGTACTGTGTAGCAGTGGTGTACACTACACTGTACTGTGTAGCAGTGGTGTACACTACACTGCACTGTGTATCAGTGGTGTACACTACACTGTACTGTGTATCAGTGGTGTACACTACACTACTGTGTATCAGTGGTGTACACTACACTGTACTGTGTATCAGTGGTGTACACTACACTGTACTGTGTAGCAGTGGTGTACACTACACTGTACTGTGTAGCAGTGGTGTACACTACACTGTACTGTGTAGCAGTGGTGTACACTACACTGCACTGTGTATCAGTGGTGTACACTACACTGTACTGTGTATCAGTGGTGTACACTACACTGTACTGTGTATCAGTGGTGTACACTACACTGTACTGTGTAGCAGTGGTGTACACTACACTGTACTGTGTATCAGTGGTGTACACTACACTGTACTGTGTAGCAGTGGTGTACACTACACTGTACTGTGTATCAGTGGTGTACACTACACTGTACTGTGTATCAGTGGTGTACACTACACTGTACTGTGTAGCAGTGGTGTACACTACTGTACTGTGTAGCAGTGGTGTACACTACACTGTACTGTGTAGCAGTGGTGTACACTACACTGCACTGTGTATCAGTGGTGTACACTACACTGCACTGTGTATCAGTGGTGTACACTACACTGTACTGTGTATCAGTGGTGTACACTACACTGTACTGTGTATCAGTGGTGTACACTACACTGTACTGTGTATCAGTGGTGTACACTACACTGTACTGTGTATCAGTGGTGTACACTACACTGTACTGGGTAGCAGTGGTGTACACTACACTGCACTGTGTATCAGTGGTATACACTACACTGTACTGTGTATCAGTGGTGTACACTACACTGTACTGTGTATCAGTGGTGTACACTACACTGTACTGTGTATCAGTGGTGTACACTACACTGTACTGTGTATCAGTGGTGTACACTACACTGTACTGTGTATCAGTGGTGTACACTACACTGCACTGTGTATCAGTGGTATACACTACACTGTACTGTGTATCAGTGGTGTACACTACACTGTACTGTGTATCAGTGGTGTACACTACACTGTACTGTGTATCAGTGGTGTACACTACACTGTACTGTGTAGCAGTGATGTACACTACACTGTACTGTGTAGCAGTGATGTACACTACACTGTACTGTGTAGCAGTGATGTACACTACACTACTGTGTAGCAGTGATGTACACTACACTACTGTGTAGCAGTGATGTACACTACACTGTACTGTGTATCAGTGGTATACACTACTGTGTATCAGTGGTATACACTACACTGTACTGTGTAGGAATGATGTACACTACACACTGTACTGTGTAGCAGTGATGTACACTACACACTGTACTGTGTAGCAGTGATGTGCACTACACTGTACTGTGTAGCAGTAATGTACACTACACTGTACTGTGTAACAGTAATGTACACTACACTGTACTGTGTATCAGTGGTGTACACTACACTGTACTGTGTATCAGTGGTGTACACTACACTGTACTGTGTAGGAATGATGTACACTACACACTGTACTGTGTAGCAATGATGTACACTACACTGTACTGTGTAGCAATGATGTACACTACACTGTACTGTGTAGCAGTGGTGTACACTACACTGTACTGTGTAGCAGTGATGTACACTACACTGTACTGTGTAGCAGTGATGTACACTACACTGTACTGTGTAACAGTGATGTACATTACACTGTACTATATAGCAGTGGTGTACACTACACTACTGTGTAGTGGTGGTGTACACTACAACATACTGTGTAGCAGTGATGTACACTACTGTACTGTGTAGCAGTGTACACTACACTGTACTGTGTAGCAGTGATGTACACTACACTGTACTGTGTAGCAGTGGTGTACACTACACTACTGTGTAGCAGTGGTGTACACTACACTGTGCTGTGTAGCAGTGGTGTACACTACACTGTGCTGTGTAGCAGTGGTGTACACTACACTACTGTGTAGCAGTGGTGTACACTACACTGTACTGTGTAGCAGTGGTGTACACTACACTGTACTGTTGCAGTGGTGTACACTACACTGTACTGTGTAGCAGTGGTGTACACTACACTGTACTGTGTAGCAGTGGTGTACACTACACTGTACTGTGTAGCAGTGGTGTACACTACACTGTACTGTGTAGCAGTGGTGTACACTACACTGTACTGTGTAGCAGTGGTGTACACTACACTGTACTGTGTAGCAGTGGTGTACACTACACTGTACTGTGTAGCAGTGGTGTACACTACACTGTACTGTGTAGCAGTGGTGTACACTACACTGTACTGTGTAGCAGTGGTGTACACTACACTGTACTGTGTAGCAGTGGTGTACACTACACTGTACTGTGTAGCAGTGGTGTACACTACACTGTACTGTGTAGCAGTGGTGTACACTACACTGTACTGTGTAGCAGTGGTGTACACTACACCGTACTGTGTAGAACATAAGAAAGAAGGAACACTGCAACAGGCTTACTGACCCATGCAGAGCAGGTCCATGACCCTTACCCCCGGATTAGCCCAATGACCCACCCAGTTTGGTCACCTCCACTCAAGGATGGAGCACGGCACCAGACCCAGCAGCACAAGCTAGTCAGGTCCAACTCACACCCACCCACACCCACTCATGTATTTATCTAACCTATTTTTAAAACTACACAACATTTTAGCCTGAATAACTGTACTTGTTCAAATTAACTGTACATGTTCAAATTATCGTCTGAATCCTGATTTATTAATTCTCTGACATACTTGACTTTATTAGCACTCCTGCTCTCCAACAGCCAATTCTCACTCCATCTGAACCTCTGAAGTGAAGGAGTAAGTTTGCCAAACTTAGACAATTCACAAGAATTAACAATCTATTGATCTTAAGATTACAAAGTTCATTTCTTTACCACTGCACCATAGGCAGACATGGTAATTGTAAGACCAATAAGCTGTCTCTTTGAAGCCCAAACACACTTTTTGAATTGTTCTATTTTTTTTTATTACAAGTTTTCAGCATATTGTTAAAGAATGATTTGGACTTTTAGGAAGGAAGTGCGACTTGACATTTGTACTATACCAACCAACAGGTCGAAGGTGTGATGGAAGTAGCAGCAGGAGCATTGCGAGGAGCCTCCACCATCTACATGAGTTTAGAAACTGCTGCAGCCACTTTAGCCTCCAGTATTACTGATAACACTGTCAAAGTGATCACTCATAAGTATGGAGTTTGACTTCCGTATATCTCCCTGATTATTAGTGTTCATGGGGAAGTGCTGAACCCACAATTCCCATGTGGGAATTGAGAGGCAACCAGGTTTAATTCGAGGAAGGGGGAGAGTAGCTCCAGTTTCTTGGATCATGAGCACTTCAGCATGAAGGCATTACCCCTTGAAGGTGACACTTTCCTAATTATAGCTACTTGAAGCATTAACTTGCTGGAAGGGCTGAGCAGGTTCACCATCTCTAATTACACATACTTAAGTAGGCCGAACAACTACTAAGAATTGTATTTTTTCCCAGCAGTCTTCCTATATTACTCTTTCCTCAAATTCCAAATAATTTCCACAGCATCTGCTTTACTATGTTTGGACTGTAGAGCTAGAGTATTTTAATTTTTGTTCAAATTAGTGTAATGTAAACTGGTAATTTATTCATATTTTTTCTGTTCTAAGAAACTGTGTGTTTATATTCAGATTTGGGCAAGTATTTTACTTCATAATATCTTGCATGTTAAGTCATTGTTATTTTTTCATTTAGGCCCTTTATTCCCTTGCAAGTGTTTTGTCATACTGCATAATATCTTAGATTTTATTTTCTCTTTGCTGGTGATTGCAGAAAGAGTAGGGTATTGAAAATACTGTAAATCCTCAATAATGGACCTCTATATAATGTGCCTTGATGTAACAGTTTTGAGATAAACAAAGCACACTGGTTATGTTATATTTTTTGCTCATTTAATTTCACAGATTATTATAATATCTAAACTGTGTGTACACTATTGTATTAGGTACTGAGTAGAGTATTTTGGTTTCTTTCCTTCAATTTAACATTATTCTGATTTAACGAACACTCATAAGAACTTAAGAAAGAAGGAACACTGCAACAGGCCTACTGACCCATGCGAAGCAAGTCCATGTCCTCCTCCTTCCCGGATTAGCCCAATGACCCACCTAGTCAGGTCACTTCCACTTAAGGAAGGAGCACATCATCAGACCTAGTAGCACAAGCTAGTCAGGTCCAACTCACTCCCCTATTAGTTTGTAATATCAAGGTTTTACTGTATGTAGAAATATAGGGAATGAATGGAGACAGTAAATATATTTAGATATTTGCTAGGTATATCAGCAAATGGATCTACGAAGAAAAGAAAGTCGGAAATATTGATGAATTGGGTAAGAAAGAACGTAAATAGGGGACTGTATGAGCACAGTGGTGCGGATGCTTCAGTATACATGTGAGGTATGTTTTCTCTTTAAATTATGTATTTTACAGTGAGAAGGTGGTTTAATGGACAAGCATTGCGATAAATGATTGTAATGTGAATAGTGGTGGTTTGGTCATTTAAAGAGGATGGAGCACAATATGATGACTTGGATGGTGTATAAATCTGTAGTAGAGGGAAGGAGGGGTAGGGGTCATCTTAGGAAAGGATGGAGGGAGGGGGGTAAGAAGTTTTGTGTGCAAGGGGCTTGGACAAATAGCAGGCATGTGTGAGCATGTTAGACAGGAGTGAATGGAGACAAATGGCTTTTGGGACTTGATGAGCTGTTGGAGTGTGAGCAGGTTAATATTTCCTGAAAGGTTTCAGGAAAACTGGTTAGCTGGACTTCAGTCCTAGAGTGGGAAGTACAATGCCTGCACTTTAAAGGAGGGGTTTGGGATTTTTGCTGTTGAAAGTGACACCTAAACTATCGTATCTGTGTGCCTGTGCAAAGACAGTGATAGTGTGAATGATGGTGAAAATGTTCCTTTTTTTTTTTTTTTTTTTATCACCCTGCCTTGATGGGGGATGGCTAGTGTGTTAAGAAAACAATAGAGTGAAGAAATTTAAAACATTAATGATAGTGTGAAAAATGCTGTATAAAGAATGGAAAATGGTTTGTGAAATATCTGGTATATTTAAACCTTGGTGGATAGGAAGTCCAAGGAAGAGGTGAAAGGAAAATGCAAATGAGGTAGGGCCATAAGTGTCTATTAGGCATATGTGAGCTTGTTAAATTTGAGTGAATGAAGGCAAGTTTTCTATAGGATCTGTGGTACTGTTGAAGCATGGTAATATTTATAAAGGGACTCAAAGAAACCAGTTACTTGTACTTACTAGTAAGTTTTGCAAGTGAGAAGTAAAGTTTACATTTTAAAAATAGGGGGAAAGGGGGATGAATATTTCTGGTTTGGTGGCCCATAATGTCTCTGCCCTTTTAGTAAGTAGGAAATAGCCAATGTATTTGAAAAAGCATAGTTGTTTCTAAATACAGTACTAAAGTTTATATCCTTTTGATTTTTTATAAAAATGTTTTTGAAGTATGAGAAACTTGGTCATCCAAATATTGGCAACCTTCCTCCATCAGTTTCTTGTGTTTTTCTTTTCTTTTATGAGGCAATGAAAAATACTACAGTAAATTGGTTTGGTCATGTAGAAAGGAAGGAAAGCATTAGGTTTATGAAGTGTGAACAGATCCAGAGCAGAATTACTGTATGTTTATTTTCTGTAGGAAAATTCTGAATTTCTACCTAAATTGAGCATAGAGTATTTGGATCTCTATCATTCAAAATTTGATTTTGCACTTTCTGAATTAGGGGAATTTTAAATAAGAGAAATTACTGTAATACAGTAATAAAGATATACGTGATCTGAAATGTTAAACATATATATAAGTCATGGTTCGAAACCACTCTTAAGTGTTAGATGGAATTAAATTTTGTAGTATAAAGTGTTCTGTCTTGTTTATTGAATATTTAGAACCAAGGTGAGTATTTTATCAAAATATAAACATAAAGATATTCTGGAACACTAATTAGCTGGACTAGAGGAGGATAGTAAAGTGCCTACATTTTGAAGAAGTGGGAATACTGTCTGGCAAGACAGCTGTTCAATGAATGATGGTGGTTTTTTTTTTTTTGCCACCCTTCCTTGGTAGGAGATAGCTGGCGTGGTAATTAAAAAAAGTTTGTTTAGTTGCTAGTTATTGGTTGATATAACTATAGTACTGTACATGTAGAGTTTTACTTACATTACTAAAGCATACCTTATGGTGATCTTCTCTGGCAGGTATGGTGATGATGCTGGACATTTGGCCGACAATACCTTGTATGCTGTTGGACAAACTGCTTTGGCGGGACATAACATTTCCTCTTTAGGGGTCAAAGGAATTGCCAAACGTACTGCAAAAGACACTGGTAGGGCTCTTGTTTATGAGCACGAGGCCAAGAAAAAAGAATCGGTGACCTCTGGACAAGTAGAGAAAGCAGATGAAGCAGTGGAAAATGAGAACCCTGGATCAGTACCAGTGAGGCCAGTGAGGGAGAAGAAAAAGCCACCTCTGTGAAGTGGCCACTGGTGGGAAAGGGCCTGGGCCTGCATATTCCAGCAAGTACAGCACTTGCCAGCCACTGTTGCTCTGAATAAAAAAGTACCGTCCTTCTCAGGGTATTATGGAATATTTCTCAATAGTAGAATCAAAACTTAAATGAAAAAAATGAATTGAAGCTGTCACAAACTCATCCATTATAATTCTATTACAGTATTTAGGTGCTTGATGCATATAGAGGTCATAATAAGCTCACTAAATTACTTTAAACTATCGTCTGTTTGAGTTTGTAGATGTAGTTATTATGTACATTTGTATAAACATATATAAACCATAATTTACATATTTTTATCTTTTGATAGAAAACTAAAGTAGATGGAGAAGAATCTTTCCTCTGTAAGCCATGTGTGTTGTAAGAGATGACTAAAATTCCCAAAGCAAGGGGCTAGTGACCCCTTCTGTATAAATTACTAAAATATAAAAAGAAGAGAACTTTGTTTTTCTTCTCTTTCAGGTCACCCTGCCTCAGTGGGAGATGGCTGTTGTGTTAAAAAAAAAAAAAGGCAGACTATCTTAGTTTGTATGTAATGACTTCTATTTGTACTATTCTATAATTGCTTGTTTACTTTTATGACATAATCCAAATAGAATTTAAGATTGCAGCTATTCCTTTCAAAAAAGTTATTGAAATAAAATATTTGAATTCTGCATTGCCTTTTGTTACATAATGAAGACATCAGATGAGGTTGGGATGGAGTAGAAAGTATAATACTTTAACATAAAGTAATACTGAAAGAGGTAAAAAGGTCAAATAAATTTGTCAAGAATTAGTCACAAATATACAGTGGAACCTCAGTTTTCGTTTGCCCTGGTTTTCGTCGAATTCGGTTTTCGACGACTTTTTTCGTCAAAATTTTGTCCCAGTTTTCGTTCGTCACCTCAGATTTTGTTGATTTGACAGTGGTCCACCGTACCGAATATGTCCACCTGCTCGCGCCTACACAAAGCATCCCACATATTCTGCGCATCCATCCGAAACATTTCGTAATAATCCATTGTTTTTTGTGCTTGTTTATTGTGTGCGACTGTTAAATAAGTCACCATGGGGCCAAAGAAAGCTCTGAATCCCAGTCCTTTGATAAAGAAGGTGAGAAACACGATAGAATTCAAGAAAGAACTTGTAGCAAAGTACGAAAGTGGAACTAGTGGCAAAGTTTTGTGGAGAAATATCACTACCACCTTCTACAAAGGCAGAGGGTGGTAGTGATGGTGGTGAAGGGTGGTAGTGGTGGTGGTAGTGGTGATGGTAGTGGTGGTGGTAGTGATGGTGGTAGTGGTGGTGGTAGTGGTGGTGGTAGTGATGGTGGTAGTGATGGTGGTAGTGATGGTGGTAGTGATGGTGGTAGTGATGGTGGTAGTGATGGTGGTAGAGGGTAGTAGTGATGGTGGTAAAGATAATCTCTCTTCCCTCTCCCCTCCTCACTGTCTTCCATATGCCAGCAAGAGTCCTCAATAAAGGTAAAAGTGATGTTAAATGTTCATTTATCCATTTCATTTGTCCTTTATATTTTTTCTCATTATTCTCTATAAAATGTAATTTTTGTTAATACTTTTGGGTGTCTGGAATGGATTAATTGGATTTACATTATTTCTATTGGGAAATATTGCTTCAGTTTTCATTGAATTTGGTTTTCATCAGACTTTCTGGAATGAATTAATGACAAAAACCGAAGTTCCACTGTACTTAGAGGGAAACTTGCATTTTATCATTGTATTGAAAATGTGTAAATGGCATCCATTTCTTTCCTTATGAATACAATTAATTTAATTTTTGCTGTTTAATTCATTTGACTCAAGTTACCTTAGCAATTGTGGTGCTGGAGCTTATATGCTTAGATAAGAGAGGGACTGTTTGGACCTTTGTAACCTGACTAAAAGAATGAAGAATAAAGTTATTGAATTATTAAGAGATTTTAAGTGTTGTCATATATGTAGGTAGCTAACCAAAGAAATTTATGATGGTTTGGCATAATTTAAATGTTTAATTTTATGGATTTTGATTTTTACACCTTCATTTGAGAACAAGAAAAGCAGAAAAGTGAAGGTGGGAAGGGCTCTGCTTTCAATCTGTAGGAAGGGTGGAGATATTGTGGCTGGAGAGTAATCTGAATTGTGATGTCAGCACACTTCTGGCAAAACGGCAATTGAATGAACGATGATGAATGCATTTTTACTGCATTACCTTGCCTTGGCAGATGGCAATTGAGGTATGAAAAAAAAAGTATATGTATATATGTGCATGGGAGGGAATAGGTGGTGGGGGTTGACATGTCCATGCCATAAAGTTCCACACATTTTCTTTTGGATTTAAGTCCAGTGAGTTACCTGGCCAGTCATTAAAGATTGAAATTTCACAGTCATTTAGCTAATTGTTTGCCTTTGGCAGTATGGCATGGGGCTTTGTCTTGCACACAAAATTTCCCTAGCACTTCTTGAAACTATCAGCAAATGTGGTAGTCTGCTAAAGGCATACTTATGTACATGCATAGTAATGATGTCTACTGTTCATGCATTTATTTATTCACGAACAGTAGGCATACTGTACCTCATTTATTAAGATGAGGTACAGTATGTTTTTTATGGATAATTTAGCTGTATAGCCCTTGTGGCTTAGTGCTTCTTTTTGATTATAATAATATGGATAATTTATCTTATAGATCTGATATTTGCCATGGCTGTTGATTGTGCCTTTGAAAGGATGTCGGAGAAAACTGTACTGAGTTCCGTGATATTGAACCCTTTTGAGGTCCGTGCTGTAGTACTACAGGTTGAGCTTGGGGTCTGTGTTCTAGAACTACGTGATGAGCTCAGCTCAGATAAGTAGTGAGTGGTAAATTTTGGCCTAGATATGAGAGAATGGGTTTATGCAGTGAGTGTGCACCATATAAAGAAAATATCCTGCCCAATGCAGTGCATGATGGAGGAAAAAACTGTGTGTATTTGGTTTAAATCAGCAACTTTGCAGTGTATTTTTGGATGGTTTTTATAGTTGTATTTTCATTTTCTTGATATCATTTGAGAGAATGGAAGATATATTACAGAAATAGAGATGATTTAGGATTGCAGAAGCGTTTGATTTTTGCCAATATTCCAGAGGACAGGGATTACATCACTTGTCCAGCATGCGCCCAACCAGTTGGTTTGATACGGGTTCATGAATATGCTGACATTATTTATACAATTATTGCAATAATGCAGTGGTCTACACAACAGTAAATCTATTTTTTGTGTTAATAAAAATTCAAAATGGAAAGCAAGTGTAATATAGGAGAGGCCTGGAGACATAATTAATGAACAGAGGAATTTTTTTTTTAGGGCCAGGAATGCCTGATTGTTTATTCTGGACCCTATTTTTAAATTGTCAATTTTTTAGTTTTGTGTGAAACTTGCCAGATTATTGATTTCTGATCACTTTATTGGGTTGTTGAAATAGTTAAATGGGCGGTTTCTTGAACTGTATCGATAGAATGGAAGGTATACTAGTGAAATAACTAAGAGTTTGGTTGATTGGAACAATGGAATTGGCCTAATATAGGACTCAGAGTGGGTGAAATCTCCTATGTGTAAATATCGCCAAGCCCTCTAAATTTGCAAAAGCGTAATTGTGTAAGTTTTCCATCAAATTTCTTACTTTTGGTGTCTTTACCTCTACAATTTCATATATTTTTTTTTTAAATTTTGGACCCTGAGAGCAATTTTCATATCGAGTCTGGACTCCGAAAGGATCAACAGTAGTCTTGCATGTACTGTGTGACTGTTTCATGCAAATAAAGCTATTAGCACTTAAAGTATCCACACCCCTCAAATTGAAAGCCCATTCTCTGCCCACAAGTTTGACAGAAAAAATTATATTCTAAAATGGTAGAGAATAATTTTCTAAAAGTAATGATGACACCAAAAATGCCAAATATGATGAAATACTTACCAAATATGCTTGTATGAGTTTGGAGGCTGGGGAGCACTTTACACAGTGATTTTTGCCTACTTTGACTCCTCTCTTAACCTTTTCAGGGTCCCCAGGCCCTCTCCCAGACTTGTTCTCAGGGTCACCCAAATTTTAAAAAAAAAATTAATTTTTTCTTATGAAAAGACAGAGAATCTTTTCTCGATCATAATGACACCAAAAGTATGAAATTTGATAGAAAACTTATGGAATTATGCTCTCGTGAAGTTAGCGGTCTCGATGATGTTTACGCATCGGCGATTTTGCCCACTTTGAGCCCTATTTTAGGCCAATTCCAGCGTACTAGTTGACAAAAATCATAACTATTTCACTAGAACTCCATTTTTTCTATCGAATGAGTACAAGAAACCACCCATTTACCAATTTCAACTATCCAATACAGTGGTCAGAATTTAGCAATTTTGCCAATTTCACAAATTTCAAAAGATGCCAATTTCTAAAAAGGGTCCAGAATAAACAAGAAAGACATTCCTGGCACTAAAATAACATTTCCTCTGTTCATTAGTCACATCCCCACGCCCCTCTTACATTCTTTTGCTTTCCACTTTGAATTTTTATTCTCACAAAAAATAGAATGTTTACTGTTATGTAGACTACTGCATTAGTGTAGAAATGGTATAAATAATATCGGCACACTTGTGTATTGGACGCTTAGCATGATTTGTTTACTTTTGAACTTTGATAAAAATCGAACATTTCTGCTACTTTGAGCTCAATTTCAAGGTACTTTTCATTGTAAAACCAGTCAAAGTCATCTCAATTTCTGTAATATGTCTTCCATTCTATAAAATGAGACTAGGAAAACTAGAATACAACAATAAATACCATACAAAAATACAGTGCAAAGTCGCTGTTTTAATCCAAAAACACAGTCAGTTTTTTTTTTCTCATTACGCACTGTGCTGCAGGATTTTTTTTATACTGCGCACACTGACCTCATAGACCCATTCTTTCATATGTAGGCCTACCAACTTTCTCTCGCTAGATTTGAGGGCGCTAGAATTTAGGCGTACTAGTACATCAAAAACCCTGGTGTGTAAGCCGTACTAGTACGTCTGAAACCCTGAAAGGGTTAAGCCAGTTCCTGTGCTACCCAATTCCTGGCTGTTTCATTTCTATCCCTTCCATACTATCCAATGCTCACAAGGAACTGCCCATTCATCCATTATAACCACCCTATTAAGCAGAATTAAGAAATTTGTCCAATTTTACACTATTCAATAAATTCCAATGTAAAAATAGTGTCCAAAACAAACACTAGGCATTAGAACCACTAAAGCAACCTTCTTGTTCATTATGTTCTCAGGCCTCTCCTCTTTCCCTCCATTTTTAATCCATTGTTACACAAATTGATACTTTCCCCAATATATCTCAATTAACCCTTAAACGGTCTAAACGTATATATACGTTCACGCGCGTAGCGCCCCAAACGTATATATACGTTTTCTTTGTCATTCATTCAACATTGCCACAATAAGCCTGAGTCACCTAGACATGAGAGAATGGGTGTGTGCACTCACTGTGTTCCATATTTAAATAATTGGGGATGCCTGGGTACCATATGCTCTTTTTTCCTTTTAAAAGAAAAGATTTCTTTTTTCCTCAAAAAATTTGGAGCGCTACGTGAGTGAACGTATATATACGTTTGGACCGTTTAAGGGTTAATAAACTAGTACAGTGGTACCTCGGGATAAGAATTTATTTCGTTCCAGAAGGCTGTTCGAATCCTGCTACCGAACGAATTTGTTCCCATAAGGAATAATGTAAATTAGATTAATCCATTTTAGACCCCCAAAAGTACACTTACAAAAGCACTTACATAAATACACTTACATAATTGTACGAGTTTTGAGATGTTCATAACGTGAGGTACCACTGTAAGACCACAAGTAAGGGCTCTACCCTTCCTCAGAAAACTTACCCAAATCGACCATCTCCACCATTTTAAGGCCTATCTCGGGCTACTTCCGGTCTTAAACCAACCAAAAGCTTCTGCATATTGGTAGTCTGGTCTATCTATTGGCACCAAGAAATAACCAATAAAACCAAAAAAACAAATTCGCTATTTTAAATCAAACACGGGTCAGAGGTTAGCCGTTTACATCATTCACTGCTTGGGGTAGGATAATTTGCTGTTCACAACAAATCTGAGGGAACTATGAAACTTACATTCTAGTATGTCATGGATGTTGATCTCTATAACTTAGTAGTACACACATGGCAGACAATTTTTGGGGTTAATGGATGGTGTGTGACTGATAAATGTGATTGGTTTCAGGAGTTTTGCAAGTGAATCTCAAGTGTGCCAGTATTTATTTTTAAATTAAGCTTCATGGGAGTTTAACATTAATACTCGCATTATTTAAAGTTTTGTCTACTTAGCTTAAGATTTTTTATTTTATTTTACAAGTCTGTATTTAGCTAACCATGTGTCGGAAATACACCAAAAATTACATTATATTGATAGTTCATGTTTGTATTCATTTATTCCAATGATGGGCATCTATTCGGGTGATGTTTGTGTTTAATACTAACCTGGCTTATTAACCACAGGCATTCCTAAAGAAGTGACTTAAGTGTATTACGTTAGTTTAGAGGATGAAGAGTTTTAATGTACTTCACATGAATACTTGAGAAGAACAACAATGAAGCCTCCATTAGGTAAAACTCCAGGCTAGATGGATATCAAGTGTTAAGATGTATAACACTGTTACTGAAATGTAAGATTGTATTTTTTTTCGTTTTAGGTCACCTTGCCTCAGTGGGGTACAGCCGGTGTGTTAAAAAAAAAAAGATTGTATTATATAATGCATTGTATAATGTGGTAAGTACAGTGCCTGCACTCTGGGGATATTTGCAGTTTGGAGGGACATATGAACTCATATTTATGCGTCTTTAGCAAGATATTGATAATGTGAGTTGTGAAAGTATTTCTTTTTCTGGTCACCCTATTCGGTGGGTGGGAGACAGCCAGTGTGTTAAATATGACTTGTGTTCTTGATGTGGAAAATACAGTGCCTCCATCATGAGATGGAGATGGTTGTCAAGTTGAAAAATAATAATATTTATAATGGCAATGTGGTAAAGATTTGACTGCTTAAGTCCAATATACAGTGGACCCCCGGTTCGCGAAGTCATCGGTATCCAATAAATCCGGTATCCGAAGCATTATATCGCAAAAAATTTGCCTCGGTTCCCGTTACAAAACCCGGTATGCGATACGATTCATAAGAGACGTGTCCACGTGTGGCCTGAACTGCCCCGTGTGTGCCAGTGTTTACAAGCCAGCCAGTGTGCGCGCATCTAAGGATACATTCGGTACATTCCATATTATTACTGTTTTTGGTGATTGTTTCTGCAAAATAAGTCACCATGGGCCCCAAGAAAGCTAGTGCCAACCCATCGAGACCAAGGGTGCTAATGACTATTGAAATGAAGAAAGAGATAATTGCAAAGTATGAAAGTGGAGTGCGTGTGTCGGACCTGGCCAAGTTGTATTGTAAATCCCAATCAACCATCTCTACTATAGTGAGCAGGAAAACGGCACTCAAGGAAGCTGTTCTTGCAAAAGATGCAACTGTGATTACAAAAGAGCGATTCCCCTTCTAAACAATAAAAACTTTGACACTCTCCTCTCCTCCCATCCCATCAATCATCACCAGATCTTCATTAAAGGTAAGTGTCAATTATTCTATTGTGATTATTCTATTGTTATTATTGTTATTGTAATTATTCTATTGCATTAAACTTAATATTTCATGTGGTAAGTTTTTTTTTTTTTTTTCATACTTTCGGGTGTCTTGCATGGATTAATTTGATTTCCATTATTTCTTGTGGGGAAAATTGATTTGCTTTCCGATAATTTTGCTTTACGATGAGCTCTCAGGAACGGATTAATAATGTGAACCGGGGGTCCACTGTACTGTAATTGCAGGAACAACACTGAATAGCAATGAAACTACAACCCACCCAGCAAATGTTGAAACTGTTGGGAAATAGGAAATATAGTAGGTTGGTAGACAGCAACCACCCAGGGAGGTACTACCGTCCTGCCAAGTGAGTGTAAAACGAAAGCCTGTAATTGTTATTGAAAGCCTGTAATTGTTTTACTTGATGGTAGGATTGCTGGTGTCTTTTGTCTGTCTCATAAATATGCAATATTACAGGTATGTCTTGCTACTTCTACTTACACTTAGGTCACACTACACATACATGTACACGTTTATTTATACACACTCATCTGAGTTTTCTTTGATTTTATCTTAATAGTTCTTGGTCTTATTACTTTTCCTTTTATATCCATGGGGAAGTGGAATAAGAATCTTTCTTCCGTAAGCCATGCGCGTTGTAAAAGTCAACTAAAATGCCGGGAACAATGGGCTAGTAATCCCTTTTCCTGTAAAGATTACTAAAAAGAATAAGAAGAAAATTGTCAAAGTGGGAAGTCTGAATGTGCGTGGATGTTGTGCAAATGATAAGAAAGAGATGATTGTGGATGTTATGAATGAGAAGAAGCTGGATGTCCTGGCTTTAAGTGAAACAAAGCTGAAAGGGGTAGGAGAGTTTCAGTGGAGAGGAATAAATGGGATTAGGTCAGAGGTTTCAAATAGAGTTAGAGCTAAAGAAGGAGTAGCAATAATGTTGAAGGATAAGATATGGCAGGAAAAGAGGGACTATAAATGTATTCAAGGATTATGTGGAGTAAAATAAAGGTTGGATGTGAAAAGTGAGTTATAGTAAGCGTGTATGCACCTGGAGAAGAGAGAAGTGTAGAGGAGAGAGGGAGATTTTTGGAAATGTTGAGTGAATGCGTGGGGAGTTTTGAACCAAGTGTGATAGCACTTGTTGTTGGGGATTTCAATGCTAAAGTGGGTAAAAATGTTGTAGAGGGAGTAGTAGGCAAATTTGGGGTGCCAGGGGTAAATGTAAATGGGGAGCCTTTAATTGAGCAATGTGTAGAACGAGATTTGGTAATAAGTAATACATATTTTATGAAAAAGAGGATAAATAAATATACAAGGTATGATGTAGCACGTAATGAAAGTAGTTTGTTAGATTATGTATTGGTGGATAAAAGGTTAATAGTTAGGCTAGAGGATGTACATGTTTATAGAGGGGCAACTGATATATCAGATCATTATTTAGTTGTACCTACAGTTAGAGTAAGAAGTAGATGGGACAAGAGGAAGGTGGCAACAAGTAGGAGGGAAGTGAAAGTGTATAAACTAAGGGAGGAGGAAGTTCGGGTGAGATATAAGCGACTATTGGCAGAAAGGTGGGCTAGTGCAAAGATGAGTAGTGGGGGAGGGGGGGTTGAAGAGGGTTGGATGAGTTTAAAATTGCAGTATTAGAATGTGGGGCAGAAGTTTGTGGTTATAGGAGGGTGGGGGCAGGAGGAAAGAGGAGTGATTGGTGGAATGATGAAGTAAAGGGTGTGATAAAAAAGAAAGTTAGCTTATGAGAGGTTTTTACAAAGCAGAAGTGTTATAAGAAGAGCAAAGTATATGGAGAGTAAAAGAAAGGTGAAGAAAGTGGTGAGAGAGTGCAAAAGGAGAGCAGATGATAGAGTGGGAGAGGCACTGTCAAGAAATTTTAATGAAAAGAAAAATTTTTGGAGTGAGTTAAACAAGTTAAGAAAGCCTAGGGAAAATATGGATTTGTCAGTTAAAAACAGAGTAGGGGAGTTAGTAGATGGGGAGAGGGAGGTATTAGGTAGATGATGAGAATATTTTGAGGAACTTTTAAATGTTGAGGAAGAAAGGGAGGTGGTAATTTCATGCACTGGCCAGGGAGGTATACCATCTTTTAGGAGTGAAGAAGAGCAGAATGTAAGTGTGGGGGAGGTGCGTGAGGCATTACATAGAATAAAAGGGGGTCAAGCAGCTGGAACTGATGGGATCATGACAGAAATGTTAAAAGCAGGGGAAGATATAGTGTTGGAGTGGTTGGTACTTTCGTTTAATAAATGTATGAAAGAGGGGAAGGTACCTAGGGATTGGCAGAGAGCATGTATAGTCCCTTTATATAAAAGGAAGGGGACAAAAGAGATTGTAAAAATTATAGAGGAATAAGTTTACTGAGTATACCAGGAAAAGTGTATGGTAGGGTTATTATTGAAAGAATTAGAGGCAAGACAGAATGTAGGATTGCGGATAAGCAAGGAGTTTTCAGAGTGGGTAGTGGATGTGTAGATCAAGTGTTTACATTGAAGCATATATGTGAACAGTATTTAGATAAAGGTAGGGAAGTTTTTATTGCATTTATGGATTTAGAAAAGGCATATGATAGAGTGGATAGGGGAGCAATGTGGCAGATGTTGAAAGTACTATATGGAATAGGTGGTAAGTTACTAAATGCTGTTAAGAGTTTTTATGAGGATAGTGAGGCTCAGGTTAGGGTGTGTAGAAGAGAGGGAGACTACTTCCCGGTAAAAGTAGGTCTTAGACAGGGATGTGTAATGTCACCATGGTTGTTTAATATATTTATAGATGGGGTTGTAAAAGAAGTAAATGCTAAGGTGTTCAGGAGAAGGGTGGAATTAAATTATGGGGAATCAAATACAAAATGGGAACTGACACAGTTACTTTTTGCTGATGATACTGTGCTTATGGGAGATTCTAAAGAAAACTTGCAAAGGTTAGTGGATGAGTTTGGGAGTGTGTGTAAAGGTAGAAAGTTGAAAGTGAATATAGAAAAGAATAAGGTAATGAGGGTATCAAATGATTTAGATAAAGAAAAATTGGATATCAAATTGGGGAGGAAGAGTATGGAAGAAGTGAATGTTTTCAGATACGTACTTGGGAGTTGACGTGTCGGCGGAAGGATTTGTGAAGGATGAGGTTAATCATAGAATTGATGAGGGAAAAAAGGCGAGTGGTGCATTGAGGTATATGTCGAGTCAAAAAATGTTATCTATGGAAGCAAAGAAGGGAATGTATGAAAATATAGTAGTACCAACACTCTTATATGGGTGTGAAGCTTGGGTTGTGAATGCAGCAGTGAGGAGGCGGTTGGAGGCAGTGGAGATGTCCTGTCTAAGGGCAATGTTTGGTGTAAATATTATGCAGAAAATTCGGAGTGTGGAAATTAGGAGAAGGTGTGGAGTTAATCAAAGTATTAGTCTGAGGGCTGAAGAGGGGTTGTTGAGGTGGTTTGGTCATTTAGAGAGAATGGATCAAAGTAGAATGACATGGAGAGCATTTAAATCTGCAGGAGAAGGAAGGTGGGGTAGGGGTCGTCCTCGAAAAGGTTGGAAGGAAGGGGTAAGGGAGGTTTTGTTGGTGAGGGGCTTGGACTTCCAGCAGGCATGCATGAGTGTGTTTGATAGGAGTGAATGTAGACAAAAGGTATTTGGGACCTGACGATCTGTTGGAGTGTGAGCAGGGTAATATTTAGTGAAGGGATTCAGGGAAACCGGTTATTTTTATATAGCCGGACTTGAGTCCTGGAACTCTAAAGGAGGGGTTCGGGATATTAGCAGTTTGGAGGGATATGTTGTGTATCTTTATACGTATATGCTTCCAAGCTGTTGTGTTCTGAGCACCTCTGCAAAAACAGTGATTATGTGTGAGTGAGGTGAAAGTGTTGAATGATGAAAGTATTTTCTTTTTGGGGATTTTCTTTGTTTTTGGGTCACCCTGCCTTGGTGGGAGACGGCCAACTTGTTGGAAAAAAAAAAAAGTTACACTTGCTGACTCAGTTACATTACAGTGTAATACAGTTGAATGTTTATTTTCCAAAAGATATATTAGTTACAAAGGTAAGATGATAATGCCATCATATGACATGTCGTATGTTATATAGTTGGACAGTACCCTTTCCCAGCAGGTGAGTGGTCTACCAGCTACTATCTATTCCTGTTCAACCAATCATCTTGCACCTTTCATTTACAGCGTCTTCTTACTCTGCTACATTCACACTCTCGTCTTCCTTTCCCAGGTTGTGCTTCTGTCACTGTGGTGGAAGCATATGTTCACATGCCCTCACCTTTTCTCCAACGATTCTGTGCTGGCATGCATCCTTCCTCTGCCACAGAATTTTCTGTCCATTATAAGGCTGCTAAATGGTCAGAGGGACTTAAGCGTTGCAATGTTCCAAGTCTTTATTTTTAATTATAATAATAATGTTCTAGGTCCTCAAGAACTGTCAATAATTCAAGGTACCCGATTACCAATGTGGATAGTTGCCTCACAGATGGATGCTCCTGCCATGGTGCTTATTGCAGGATAACCCTTATGGGTTTCAGTGCTTCCCCTGAATATGCAGTAATATTTCTACTGCTTCCTTCAAAAGGGATTGCCTTGATGCTGGTGGTGAAGGGATCTTAATTCACTTGGAGCAATCCTTCTTGGCTCAAAGTTGGCCCATACTAGTTTACTGCTTCCCACTGAATATTTCTGAGCCTCAAGATGTTGATTTGCAGGATTTCCTCAAATGTTTGTACATACTATTTCTAAGGCCTTGAAAGTCATTTTAACACAGTTTTTACTCTATTGTGGTTTGAAGACCCTTGTGATCTCAAAGATTCAGGTGTAATCTGGAGAGATAGTGATTGAATGAATGATGGTGAATGTGTTTTCTTTAGGTCACCCTGCTTTGGTGGGTAATGACTGCCGATTAAAAAAAAGATATTTGTGAAGTTCCAGTAATGAGATCAACATACCATATACTGTACAGGAGACTGGAATGTTAGCATAGCCATCACCTGCAGCTCAATGTAAGTTTTTAGATATTCCTCTTTGCAGACAGGGATGGAATGTAGCTCTTGTTCCCTGTGGTTAATGAATCATGAATAACTAATAATTTTTTTTTATTAACAGGGTTGCAAGAGCTTTGATACATCACTACCTGAGGGGTGAGATGAGATCTTTTGCTCAAGGACTGATTGGGCTTCTTTCAAGTTCATCTTGAGTAACATGGCTTTAGTGCTTGCATACATATGGTAAAAGATAGTAGAGGGCTTGGAAGTCCACACTGAGGCTGTCTGCCGAGACCTATCATGTATTATCTAGGTGTATGAGTCAAGGATAGAAAAGCAGAAGGTTCTTTCACTATCCTTCTGCCACTGTCTGCATGTAAGTGGGGGAAAATACACCATTTTGAAAAAATGGCATAGAATTTACAGGGGATGGAACTAGGTAGAGCAGATGGTCTTCAATTGTCTTGACCCAGTTAGGACTGTTACTATGTTAACTACTTGTATTACTCAGCTGCCACTCGCAGAGCTCTGTGCACCAACAATTTTGCTTCTGGTGCTGTATGACCCTGGTAGGTTTAGTGCTTCTTCTTTTATTATAATTTGCTTCTGGTCACAACCAATTCTACTATGTCTATCATATGCTTCTACCACTACTGCTATTGTTGACTCTTGCCTCATTGTGAACTGAATATCCTGGTGCAGTTGCTGAACAAACAGGAATCTGTTGACTCCAGATTGCCCCACCTGTTATATATACATAAAGGCCCCTCTTTACAGTGCTTTGCTATGCGGTATTTCGCTAATGCAGTGGTTTTCAATTATACCCATTCTTCATTTATTCAGATTTCATATTATAAATATATTCACCACTTAATATCAGCCAAAGACAAAAATATTTTGAGGTAAGTAATGTGTATACTGTATATGCATTTATTAGGCCTAGCTTTATTGTTCACTTAATATATGATAATATAAACATGTTATTAGGCTTATATGCATTTGAAAGCAAGAAAAGGCTGTTTCACTTTACAGCAATTTTTACTTTATAGCAGTAGCCCAGAACCTAACCTGCTGTATAAGCAGGGTCTGTCTATGTATAATCGTGAAGACGGACTTAGATTTTAGTGGTTGAGTGAGGTAGTGAGCATCCTAGGTGACATAGCACTCTTCTCCTTCACTCCCTATACATTTGTTATACCTTATATGTACATGTATTTTTTTTAACAAATTTGTTTTACAGGTTAAGAGCTGTTATTGTAGGTTTAGTGCTCTTTTATTATAATAATAAGAGCTGTTATTCTACCTCAGCTCATTTCAAAGCCCTAGCCCAATCTAAGGTATACTACCACCCCCCAGGATGCGATCCACACCAGTCGGCTAACACCCAAGTACCTACTTACTGCTAGGTGAACAAGGACAGCAGGTATGAGGAAACATGCCCAACATGTCCAACTGTACTGGGGATTGAACTCTGGACACTCAGTGTGTGTGTGCCAAGTGTACACTGTACTGCCAACTGAGTCATGGGTCATTATAGTTTATCACGTTTTTTTTTAACATATGAAACTATTTGGGCTGATCCACTAGTCTTGGCTGATCGTCGATACTGAGCATGTAGGTCATGAGAGCTCTGGGAACTCTTCCCTCTGATGCATCTACTTGAATCCTCCAAGTACTCTATGTGGGGGTCTTGATGCTAGTGAAGAGTTATTGATCCAAGGATATGGAGCTACCACTCCCTTGGATCAAACCTGATTATCTCCCATTCTCCAGGTTCTACATGTCCCTAATGGAAATAAATCACTTTCCCTTACTTTTTTTGGGGGTTATTGTAGGTAATTTACACTATGCATGCTATGTATACTAATCCTATGCATTAAATGCTTTCCCTTTAATATAATTGTGTACAGAGCAGTGTATGAGTATACACACCATGTATGGTTGCACATAGAGCAGCTTATTTAGAACAGTGTACATTGAGCAATGTTGGGGTGTATATAAAGCAGTGTGTAGAGCACTGTGTGTATAAAACAGAGTATGGGTGTATACAGATCGGTGTATGGAAGCATACATTGTGAGTTAGGTGTTGTTGCTGCCTTCACTGACAGACAGGTAGTCTATTGTTATATGTTATTGAGAGTGTGGGTGTAGGGTGACAGCACAGATGTGAAGCAGTGTAGAGCATGAGGTCTTGAAGTATAGGTGCACAGGTGTGGAGCACAGTGTAGAGTATGAGGTCCTAAAGTATAAGTGCACAGGTGTGAGGCACAGTGTAGAGTATGAGGTCCTAAAGTATAAGTGCACAGGTGTGAGGCACAGTGTAGAGTATGAGGTCCTAAAGTATAAGTGCACAGGTGTGAGGCACAGTGTAGAGTATGAGGTCCTAAAGTATAGGTGCACAGGTGTGAGGCACAGTGTAGAGTATGAGGTCCTGCAGTATAGGTGCACAGGTGTGAGGCACAGTGTAGAGTATGAGGTCCTGCAGTATAGGTGCACAGGTGTGAGGCACAGTGTAGAGCATAAGGTCCTGCAGTATAGGTGCACAGGTGTGAGGCACAGTGTAGAGTATGAGGTCCTAAAGTATAGGTGCACAGGTGTGAGGCACAGTGTAGAGCATAAGGTCCTGCAGTATAGGTGCACAGGTGTGAGGCACAGTGTAGAGTATGAGGTCCTGCAGTATAGGTGCACAGGTGTGAGGCACAGTGTAGAGTATGAGGTCCTAAAGTATAGGTGCACAGGTGTGAGGCACAGTGTAGAGCATAAGGTCCTGCAGTATAGGTGCACAGGTGTGAGGCACAATGTAGAGCATAAGGTCCTGCAGTATAGGTGCACAGGTGTGAGGCACAGTGTAGAGTATGAGGTCCTGCAGTATAGGTGCACAGGTGTGAGGCACAGTGTAGAGCATAAGGTCCTGCAGTATAGGTGCACAGGTGTGAGGCACAGTGTAGAGTATGAGGTCCTGCAGTATAGGTGCACAGGTGTGAGGCAGTGTAGAGCATAAGGTCCTGCAGTATAGGTGCACAAATATACAGTGGTCATCTTTGCTACAGCTACTTTTAAAACCCATTTTCTTTAAAATATCTTCTGAAGCTTATGGGTTAATGCGAATTTTTTCATACAGATTCTCTAAAAGATGATTTAGATCATCTCTTGATGTAATTTATTAAGTGCGGTTTTATTAGTGTGCAGTGAGGTATCCGGCAAGTTAACACTTTACTCGAGGTCACTAAGTGACCATCGTGTCAGTCCTCACTTGGTCGTCCACGAGGGAGGTTTGCTCTCATCGCCTTCCATACGTGGCTGACCAAATTATATTTTTAACGAGGAAAATAACCGTTTGTGGTTTTGAGAGACCGGCTGAAGTGCGTCTGCCAACTGTACCACACTGACACTTAACAGTAGTACACTTCAAGTGTTGTGGTGAAGTTGTTGGAGATGTGGATGTTGGTGACGGTGATGGGGCTGGCTGCTCCAACACTCCCTCTTCCTCTAGACACTCAAGCACTCCCCCATCACCCTCCAGCACTCCCCCATCACCCTCCAACACTCCCCCATCACCCTCCAACACTCTCCTACGACCAGTCACAACGAAGGGGATTTGGTAAGTAAACAATAATAATGAATATAGTATTATTATAATAAAAAAGAAGCGTTAATTAAACCCACTGGGGTCATACAGCGCTCCAATATTGAATATAAAAATTTATAATTATGTTTGTCCTCAGGGGATAGGGGTGATGCAGGTAAGAGGCTCTTGATGCAAGGAACTGGAGCTGACCACCACTTATTCCAACGAGTTTTAGCGCTTTACCCCCCTCAAGGAAGGTTCCTTGATGTTGGTGAGGGGCTCTTGATTTAGGGAATTGGATCTGTGCTCCAGTTCCCCGAATTAAGCCTGAATGCCTTCCACATCCCCCCCCCCCCAGGCGCTGTATAATCCTCCGGGTTTAGCGCTTCCCCCTTGATTATAATAATAATTAGCGCTTTACCATAAATATATAGTATAAAGCCCTAAACCAGTTGGGTCTTACAGCGTTGCCCACAAAATGATGATGATAATGAAACGTCATTATCTTACCGTTGCGAAAGAAATATTCGATGATATTTTTAATGCCTTTAATTTCCATATTAAGAACTATATGGCTCAAAATAGCTTGGAAGTTATGGTATGAATAACTAACATAAGCATATCTCTTTGATATACGTAGTTAACTTATTATTGATATAGCAAATTGTACCAGTTAACTCATCTCAAATAAAAACGATAGATTATCAAAGAATTGCCCTGAAAAAAAATGATTACTTTTCCCTTGAAAATGTTCAGCTGTCTCCTGCTGACCCCCACCTCATACACTTATACACCGTGCGGTCTTACAGCCTCGTGGGTTAGTAAGCTTATTTAGGCACAGGTGCCTGTATAGTCCTTGTGGCTTAGCGCTTCTTTTTGATTATAATAATAATAGGCACAGGTGCACATACATGCAAATATCATACACAGTGGTAGACCATCATATTTGGAGCCCTGAAGCTTGAACTGTGATGGGGGGGCTGCTTCGCAACCCCTTTTCATACTCAAAAATTTTTAAGCAGTGTAGACTAAACTCTCTCCTGTGGTTCCTCCGGGATCAGGGGCCCTGAAGCTTGCGTTAATAGTTTCATAGCAGATCGCCCTTGATCATACATATTAACATGTATAAATTACCTAGGATAATCCAGTGGGTTGATATAATTCTTGGATTACTATAGCCTCCTGGGTTCCTTTACCTGGAGAGAGTCCGGGGGTCAACGCCCCCGCGGCCCGGTCTGTAGCCAGACCTCATGGTGGATCAGAGCCTGATCAACCAGGCTGTTACTGCTGGTTGCACGCAATCCAGCGTACGAACCACAGCCCGGCTGGTCAGGTACCGACTTTAGGTGCTTGTCCAGTGCCTGCTTGAAGACAGCCAGGGGTCTATTGGTAATCCCCCTTATGTATGCTGGGAGGCAGTTGAACAGTCTTGGGGCCCCCGACACTTGTGTCGTCTCTTAACGTGCTAGTGGGGGGATGTTGCATCGTCTGCCGAGTCTTTTGCTTTCGTAGGGAGTGATTTTCGTGTGCAAGTTCGGTACTCGTCCCTCTAGGTTTTTCCAGGTGTATATAATCATGCATCTCTTCCGCCTGCGTTCCAGGGAGTACAAGTTGAACTTCATATTGTTTTCTGCAGCCCATTGAAAGATTTGGTTGATGTCCGCTTGGAGCCTTGTTCTGTCTACAGTGGAAGACAGTCATGCAGATTCGGGTGTCATCTGCAAAGGAAGACACGGTGCTGTGGCTTACATCCCTGTCTGTCATATATGGGGGATGAGGAACAAGATGGGAGCGAGTACTGTGCCTTGCGGAACAGAGCTTTTCACCGTAGCCGCCTCAGACTTGACTCTGTTGACTACTACTCTGTGCTCTATTTGTCAGGAAATTATAGATCCATCTATCAACTTTCCTGTTATTCCTTTAGCACACATTTTTTGCGCTATTACGCCATGGGCATACTTGTCGAAGGCTTTTGCAAAGTCTGTGTATATTACATCTGCATTCTTTTTGTCTTCTAGTGCATCTAGGACCTTGTAGTGATCCAGTAGTTGGGACAGACAGGAGCGACCTGCTCTAAACCCATGCTCCTCTGGGTTGTGTAATTGATGGGTATCTAGATGGGTGGCGATCTTGCTTCTTAGGACCCTTTCAAAGATTTTTATGATATGGGATGTTAGCGCTATCGGTCTGTAGTTCTTTGCTATTGCTTTACTGCCCCGTTTATGGAGTGGGGTTATGTCTGTAGTTTTTAGTAACTACGGGACGAAACCTCTCCATAGGATGTTAAAAGCACGTGATAGGGGCTTCTTGTAGTTCTTGATAAACACGGAGTTCCACGAGTCTGGCCCTGGGGCAGAGTGCATGGGTATGTCATTTATCGCCTGTTAGAAGTCATTTGGCGTCAGGATAACGTCATTTAGATCTTCGATTCTGTCTGGTTAGCGGCTTGCTAAAAACCGAGTCATATTGGGATTTGAGTAGCTCACTCATTTCCTTGCTGTCATCTGTGTAGGACCCATCTTGTTTAAGTAGGGGCTCAGTACTGGATGTTGATCTCGACTTTGATTTGGCATAAGAAAAGAAATACTTTGGGTTTCTTTCGATTTCATTTATGGCTTTTAGTTCTTCCCGCGATTCCTGACTTCTATAAGATTACTTAAGCTTTAGTTCGATGTTCGCTATTTCTCTGACCGGTGTCTCCCTACGCACTGTAGATATATTGGCCTCTTTTAGCCGCTCTGTTATTCTTTTCCCTTGCCTGTAAAGGGAGCGTCTGTCTCTTTCTATTTTACATCTACTGCTACTTTTTTTTAAAGGAATATGCCTTGAGCATACATCGAGTGCCGCAGAGTTAATCTGTTCTAGGCATAAGCTATCTTCCCAGCTTATATCATTAGGACTTGGTTTACTTGGTCTAACTTTGTTCTTGTTGAAGTTGAATTTGGTGAAGGCTCCCTCGTGACTGATCTCATTTTGTCGGTCTGGGGCTCCGCGCATCCATGTCTGAACCTCGATTATGTTGTGATCTGAATATATTGTTTTTGATATGGTAACATTTCGTATCAGATCATCATTGTTAGTGAAGATGAGGTCCAGTATATTCTCCAGTCCAGTGAATTTTGTGCAGAGATTTAAAAGCTCGTGTGTGTCCGAGTTCTCGTCTGAGCTGCCTCCTGGTGTTATCACTGCAATAACATTATTTGCTATATTCCTCCATTTTAGGTGCCTTAAGTTGAAATCCCCCAGGAGCAAGATGTTGGGGGCAGGAGCTGGAAGATTTTCCAGACAGTGGTCAATTTTCAACAGCTGTTCCTGGAATTGTTGGAACGTTGCATCCGGAGGCTTGTAAACTACCACAGCGACCAGATTCTGGTTCTCGATCTTTACTGCTAAAACTTCAACTACATCATTTGAGGCATTAGCAGTTGTGTGCAAATAAGTAACTCTGCGGTATACAGGCCAACCTCACCCCTCCCCTTTTTTTGCCTGTTCACTCTGTCGCATCTGTATAGGTTGTAACCTGGGATCCATATTTCGTTGTCCAAGTGATCCTTCATGTGGGTCTCTTGTGAAAGCCGCGAACATTGCATTTGCCTCTGCAAGCAGTCCACGGATGAAAGGTATTTTGTTGTTCGTTGGTGACTTTAGACCCTGTATCTTTGCAAAGAAGAATGTCATCGGATTGGTGGTACTGGGGGGGGGGCACTTTTTTTCCGGCACTAATATCTGTATCTGTTGGTTTGGAGTGGAGGCCATCGACTGTGATTCCACTCCAGAAATGAATGGATTTGGTGTACGATTTCTGCCATTTCCTGCCATTTTTTTTCCTTCCTGGCACTAAAAAACCTCTCTTGAGTGGCTGTGGCTACTCTGCTTTTCCATAAGATCAAGAAGCTTCATTAAAATTATAAATAATTAAGATACCTTAAACAATTTTATATAGTTGTGAGCGTCCATGGATTGATCAGACATGAATGGCATAATTATGTATACCTGGAAGGTGTTTCTGGGGTCAACGCTCTCGCGGCCCGGTCCATGACCAGGCTTCGCTGTGGATCAGATTGTTACTGGAGTTTACCTGGAGAGAGTTTCGGGGGTCAACGCCCCCGCGGCCCGGTCTGTGACCAGGCCTCCTGGTGGATCAGCGCCTGATCAACCAGGCTGTTGCTGCTGGCTGCACGCAAACCAACGTACGAGCCACAGCCCGGCTGATCAGGAACTGACTTTAGGTGCTTGTCCAGTGCCAGCTTGAAGACTGCCAGGGGTCTGTTGGTAATCCCCCTTATGTGTGCTGGGAGGCAGTATGGTCTCTTAACGTGCTAATGACACCCCTGCTTTTCATTGGGGGGATGGTGCATCGTCTGCCAAGTCTTTTTCTTTCGTAGGATGATTTTCGGTTTTGGGCA